TCAGGTTTTTGTTGGTGTGGGTTCAGCTCTTGGGAATCGCCTGTTGCATTATTCCGCCATGCCACCAGCTACAAGAGTGGCTGGGGTATCATAGGGCCCTACATTGCCAGTATGGCCTTCATGCCTACTTCTGCCTCCCCCCAGGCAAGGCTTACCATGCTGGCTCAGCTCTAAGCTGCATCCTGCTGTTTGTCTGTGGCAGGCAAGCAGCAGCACTGCTTTGGAGCCATCCAGCGTGCTGGTGATAAGTGGTTTGCAGAGTCCTTTCTGCCAGTTGTTCTTGGCAAATGGGGTGGGGAAGACTATTGTTGCTGCTGGCTGTTATCTCTGCTTCTGAGACCACTTGGCAGAGGCACAAATCCATCTCTCGGGTGTGGAAACAAGCTGCTGGATGCTGGATGAGTCAACTCATTAATAAACAAAGAGTTACAAAGGAAACGGGTATTGGTCTTAGCAAAATAAATGCATAAAAAGTTTATTGGATGCTGTGGTGTTTGTCCTACTCGGCATGACACTGTTTTATCTCGGGCCCCAGCCTTCCTATTAAAAAATGGGGAAGTTAGTACTTTATCAAATCTTAATCAGCTTAAATGTTGATATATTACTTACATAGCATGGAAAGTATTTTCTGTATTGTTACTGATGAAGGTGGGTTATTTTTAGTTGTTACTTTTATATCTTCTTCTCTGTTTCTAAAGCTTCTGTGCAGAATGCACTGTTGGTATGAAAAACCTACCAGGTTCTGTCACTTACCCTATTTCCATTGAGGAATCCAAGCCAGATGCTCAGCAGGAAGCTCAGTACCCAAGTATTAAACTCTCATACTTACATTTTTCTTACAGCAGCACTGGTACAGCCTCACACATTAAGTTCTTCAAAAAGCAAAGCTTATTTATAGTCAACATTTATTAAGCAAGAGCAAGTAAGTACTACAAGTTTAGCAGAGGAGCCACCTTGTCTTTCAGTACCTTTGCAAGAAAAATTTATTCCAAGTCCCCAGAAAGTCTGTCTAATTGTGTTGATCTATTTGCTTCACAGAAAAAGTGGGATTCTTTGCATCTTCCTAGCTGACTCTCCCTCTGTCTCCCAAATCATCCCAGCTCATGGTTACCATGTAAAAGTCTTTGTCAAGAGGTCCCCTCCTGGACCTATTTAAGAGCTGGCTACCAGAGGGGAAGGATCTCTTCTGGAGATCCTCCTCTTTTGGTATCTTCTAGTGAGCTCAACCCAAGGGTAAGCTCTTCTACTTATTCTCTTTTGTGATCCTTGTTTGCTTTTGCCTTACTCTTTTGATTATATTGCAATTATAACATCTTGGTTATACAACATGATTTATTTTCTCTGCACCATTTGCTATATTAAAGACTCATTCTTAACTCTCCAACTTAGACCTCCCAAGGTTTCTCTCTACATACTTCTATCTATTTTCACTGTCATTTTCTTTTCCCATCTCAACCCTATCCCATCTGAGATCAAGCAATCTGTGTGCAGTAGTCTATGTGAATGCACACTGCATATCATGTTGTTTTATTTCAGTATTGCTCTCCAATCTTGTCTTAGTACTACTTAACTCCTCATAAAATTATTTGCCCCCCAGGCAAGAACTGAAGAGATGTTTTCACTCAGTTTTCCACAGCAGCATGCATATCTTTTTCCCTGGGCGATTTCAATTAATTTAAATTCCAGTAGGTATAAATAGTCAAAATTGTTCTCCCAGTTGCTTTACTCCATGATCAAAGGTCCAATATCATGCCTTTGTTAGGTCCTCCTCATCCTTTCTAAATGCAATTGAGTCATTTTTTGTCTCTTTTTGTTGACTTTTCCACCCCATCATTTGTGTGCCTTTCCTCCAAATCAAATATTAGACAGCACCAGCACCAGTACAAGACTTGGGGAAGTCTGCTTGACCTTACTTAAACTTTCGTTCAAGTCTGAGACCTCCTGCCATAAAGTAAATCGAACTGACCTTTTCAAATTCATGAGCAAACAAATAAATAAATACATAGAACTCAGCTCTGCCACCCCTGGCTTATCCTCGGAGAAAAAACACAGCCCAGGATGAGGAGAGTGAAAGAGGAATGCTAGAGAACACTTCTCTACAGTGTCCAACACAGGAGAGGAGAGCAAGGTGGGAAATAGGAGGAGAGAATGTGCCCCTATTTCTTGGCTCTACCACTGCCACACTGCATGGTGTCAGAGGGGACTGACCACTGCTGTAAGTACACATATCCTAGAGATCTCCTTTCCACTACGTGCAAACATACCCACTGCCAAGCAGCTCATGTGAAACGCAAAAAACAAGTCATAAAAATGAAAAGAAATTAAAAATAAGTGGGGGGAAAAAAAAAAAAAAAGGCTCAAATGCTCCAATCCTCCCAGGTATAATTACAGAAAATAACAACAAAAATGAGGTGGCTTCTGGCATTTTTGGTGTTCTGAGGCATTTACTGTTTTGAGTCTCGACTGCGGTAACGCGTAGGACGCATAAACAACCATGTTGGCCAACCAGATGGGCACACGATCTGCTAATTGGGGAAAGTCTGCCCCAGGATCCGGCCACGGTTGACTGCAAAACAGCCCCCAGAAAGTCAATTTTTATTTCCTTTTTTTTATTATTTTAAAATACTGGCTGAACCAGTCATCTAGAAAATTAAACTAATATGCATTTGATAGGGCAAAAGAAAATTCCTTTCTGAATATGTATTACCTTTCATCACGTCTCTACAGCATTTAATAGCAAGAACCACAGGGAAAGAATCTACAGGTTTGGTTTTAGACTTAGAAGCAGTAGTAGAGATTATAGAAATCCTAGGAGTAAGATGTTATACTTTTCATAAAATGCAGCCTATCCAGTGAGGTATTCAGGGAACATACAAACAAACCCACTGACCTGGGATGCAGAACACAGTTACGTGTTGGAAAGATGTATGATTTCACACCTTTCCTTTTCTTTTGAATAGTACAGAAAATAAATTTTCGGGTTTCTTGACTCAATTATTTGTAGTGTAAGAATGTAATTATTTGTAGTTGAAGATTGTTTTCCACTGACATTAAAATATCCTGAACAGATAATAAATTCCACTGTAATAAGCTGTACAATTGCTTTAAGAAATAGACTGCCCATGGTTTCAGAACTGTATATCCTACAGCATATTTATTTTCAAGGAAGTTAACACTTGAATCAACAATTTCATTTTAGTTGTTTATCATTAAGTTCAGTCAAAGATTTAGCAAAACATCTACACAGGTATTACTTACTGAGCTCTCTGGTTATGCTTTTTCCACTGTCTTCTGTAATGGAGGGAGGCTCTGATTTGCAGTCTGGGTTTAAATTTGTGCATGCCTAATAGCACACGCAGAGGATTATGCAGATATAACTGCATACTTGTAATTGTGAAAGGCGGTAAGTGAAATCATGTTCCACATTGTAAATTATGACCTTTTGATTAAACATCTGTTACCAGCTTAATGGCCACCAGAGGTGTGTTAGTAATAGAAATTGTTTATTATCGCTTTCTCCTGTCAAATTTGGATTGCCAGCTCAGGAAGGAGCTGCAATGAAGTAAAAGAATAGTAGCTAAAGAAGCAGACCACGCAGCCCTACAGCAGGGTGGCATCCCATCAGTCTGAGGTCATTTGACAAGAATGGGGCTGAAGCCTGTTGGGCTCCACTAATACAGCTGTGGAAGCTATTAGCCAGGCTGAGTATAGAAACCAAAGCAAAAATAGCAGTGACACCTTCATATATCCCTGTTTCTGCATTGAGGGCTGGCAGGTAGGAAAAGAAAAGAGCAGACTTATTTTAGCTTTAGTTTGGAGGTTTTTTTTTTCTTCTTTTTTTTTCTGAACATGTGGAAGTCACTGTACTTCTCAAAATGGGTAAGCCTCCTGTGTTGTTTAGGTCATTCTATGAGGTAGTTCACCCTGTCCAAATGATCCCTTGCAGATGCTGAGTCCACCTGAAGATGCCAAGTACAAAGCGGAGCATTGCAGTGTCTGCAGGGCCTGCTGCTGGGGCTTGCACAGCTGCCCCAAGAGGGGGTGCAGTGAGCTGGGCACCTTCTCTCAAAAGAGTAACAAAAGAAAAACATAGAAAAGCTATGTGATACATGTATCTTCTCATTAAATCAGAATGATCACCTTTCAAATTAAATATAGTTTCCATATTTCCCACTTAAGGCCGCTTTCTTCAAATTTCATCCAGAAGAAAGAATGAGAGCAGGTGCCATTAGGAGCTTCTGGATTTAATAGTGTTTGGTTTGGATGTGCACTGTGTTGCACAATTTTGCACATGTAGGACAAATATAACAGACAAAGGTTCCCTGTGCTACCTTGCTAAATCATAATCATAGAGTCATAGAATGGCCTGGGTTGAAAAGGACCTCAAAGATCATCTAGTTTCAATCTCCCTGCTGTGTGCAGGGTTGCCAGCCACCAGACCTAAAAAGCTTCCCTTTGGATCAAAGGGCACATTTCTTCAGAAGTACTTTCCACCTGCTTGGTTTTTAAAGACCAAAAGCGAGCTCTTCAAGAGCATTAGGAGCATCAACTCCCTCCCCCAGGAGCAGCACTACACTTTCCTGTATACCTACACAATATCTATTATGGGGTTCAAGTTTGCAATCCTACCTACGAATTACTCCTACTGAATTAAGTGATGAGTAAGCTAAGAGTTACATTTGACAAAGAATCTGCACAAGCAGTATCTGAGCGCATATTTACTTTTTTTCCCTTTCACTGACCAAAAAGTGCATGAAATAACTGCAGACAGTAGATGTAACCAGACATTTCAGACTGAAAAGATGCCAAGATAATATCAGTAATAACTGCTTGCGTTGAGATGCAAGATAGGTGAAGATGTTTTTTCACTACTCAGTTATTTCAGTTCATTTTCCTGTTATGGTGTGGTTCACATACTATTCCTGTTTTATTTCACAGAGGTAAACTGGCAAAATAATAATGTATGTATATGCATATACATCGTTAGTATGCTTTCCTACCTCTGAATAAGCTCAGTTCAGGGTGCTTTGCTGTCAGGTTCCTGTTCCTCCTCATGCAATTGATGTAGTTGCTGCTGAAAGCTCATTAAGAAAGAAACTCTGCCTTTTGCCCGACAAAGGAGGATGTAAAAGTGCTCCATTGTTCCCGCTCTGTAGAAAAACAATATGCCACAGCCAGACCCCGCTCCCAGCCGTGCCAAGTGCGTGCTAATTTATTACCTCTGGATGTCTGATTCCAAGTGAAGGAAACTGGAATGTCATACCTTCATTCAGAACACCATCTCATGGAATTATTTTTTCCGGATTCCTGGGAAGTTAAAATATTTGAGAAGAATATCAGGAACTGTTGTTTTAGCCTGTTTGGTGAGTAGATAATTGCCTTCCAACTCCACTCTTTCAGGAAATGATGTGAGTGTCGCATTGTTCCTAGACGGGGGCAGCGGTGTTTTTTAACAAGACGCACACATATATATTTTTAAAAGAAACAAAACACAACAAAAACATGCAGCCTAAGCCACTGCACCGGCCCAGACTGATTGAAGCTGGTGCAGATAAGAGGTTGGCCCAGACGACTTGTCCGCATTTCACATAACTAAGAGCATTCTTTAGCGGGGATGTAAGCAACGCTTTTTGTTGAAGGAGAAAAGAAGTCCAAAACAAAACCCTTTATGATGTGGGAGTAAAAAGCTCATTCTGTTAAGTGATATCAAACATGACCAGAAAAGGCCCTAGGGAGAAATTAATACTTTTTTATTGGATTCTGTGGAACAAACTAGCCTGGGAACTTGAAAGCACAGGGAACGTGCACGTGGAAATCACGTCATATATGAAGAATAATTTCTTAGCGTGTGAAATTTATTTGGAAATACTTTTCAGCTGAAGTTTCTCTTTATGGCAGCTATTTCAAAAGGAGCATACTGAGGCAATGACCCACGGTAGCACTAATGCAATAGCTGCTGGATAACCTCCTTGCACAGTTCTGTGGTCTTAGGCCAGCCCTGTGTTTACAGGGAAAAAATAATCAGCAGTGAAACTCAGAACCAGAGGCTAAGGCTGAGCACCTTACTTGATTTTTATTGAAGACAATTTCAAAGTTCCAACCCAGTTTTTGAGTTCCAATTTAGCTTTTGCTAATAGTAAAACTGAGACTCAATAAAGAGGAAACCACTATTTTGTTTTTAGGAAAGACTGCAAACGGTGAAAGGAGTGGCATACAGAAACTCTGTCTGGACTTCTCATGCCCTGCTTTTGCCATGGCACTTCTCTGCAACTCACTTCTTTTAAATACTAGCAAACTGGCTTTCACATTTTGTGATCCTTCGGTGATGCTGACCACCACCTCAAGTGAAGAATACCAACCACTACCAGGTGGTGTTCCAGACCCCTCATCTTTGCGGCCCTCTGTTGGACTCCCTCTAGGAGATCCCTATCTTTCTTGAATGGAGGAGCCCAGAACTGGACACTGTACTTCAGATGCAGCCACACCAGGGCAGAGTAGAGTGGGAAGATCGCCTCCCTTGACCTGCTAGCCATGCTCTTTTTGATGCATCCCCAGGATTGGCCTTCTAGGACACAAAGGCACACTGCTGGCTCATCACCAACCTGTTGTCCACCAAGATCCCCAGGTCCTTCTCTGCAGAGCTCCTTTCCAGCAGGTCAGCCCATAACCTGTACTGATGTGTGCAGTTCTTCCTCCCAAGGTGCAAGACACTACACTTGCTCCAGCTGAACCTCATCACATTCCTCTCTGCCCAACACTCCTCTCTATCCAGGTCTCCATCATTCATTTCCTCCCTTCTTCAGCATCCGGCCAAGAAATTAAAAAAAAAAAATAAAATCAATAATTAAGCAGCCCTGGCATGTAAAATTTTGTAAATGGATGTCTTAAAGAAAATTACTTTTGCTGTACCACCTGCAAGTTGCAGCTGCACAGAAAATTTGTAAACATGAAACATCCCTGTCACCCCTCACATTTACAGATATTTTTATGATGAGAAACAGCAGCCTGTTTTTGTGCCCTCTTCTTCTGTATAGTGGGTATGAAGAAAGCCTTTCACACACAGAATGAGCCAAAGGTACTGTGCTACACTGGCTCTTTGACCAGCATTTTTTTTCTATGCTCAGAGCATCCCAGATGATACATTAAACACACACACCTAACGCAGTGAGCACTTCTCAAGTTGCTCAGGACACAAATACTGAAGTCTTGCTATCTCTGAGTGCTCCTTAACAACAGAAAACTAATTCAGTCTTGCAATGTACTGCTGGCTCATTACTCTGAAGAATTTCTTTAACCATTTAGACTTTGATAGTTTAAAGGAAAATTCCTCGTTAGGATTCCAGGCAGTAATTAGTTGTTCAAAGATCACGCTGCTAACTAAGTGTACTACTGTAATTCTTTCTTACCATTTTTAACCTTGCTTGAAAAACATTGTCTATGTTTGGAATTCTTTCAAATCAGTGCACAGTATTTCCTATTTATGTAATTCAGGTTAGAAGCTTTCTAGATGACATAGCAAATATTGGAACAGGTTTAGAGACATCTGGAGAGGGGATTTTCAGGAACCGGAATTTCTTTAATGAGGGCTAAAAACATCTGGAAAGGACAAACTTGGGTCCGCTCACAAAGGGCTTCCTATGACCTCAAGCAGGCTGGAACTAACTTTCCAGAAGCTGAAGCTACTGAAAAATGCAGTGCACGGACTAGGACACACGTTGCAGCAAGAGGCACTTTTGCATACCATGGTTTGGGAGAGCACTGGCTATGTGCCATCCTACAAGCTTTGCAAGGCGTGCTTGCAAATTTATTTTATAATTAACTCAAAGACAATTAACAATGCTTACCCGGGCCATGCAGCACAAAAACTAAAGTTTTTTCCTCTGATTACGGGGACCACGTGTCATAAAATGCTGGATAAATGTATAGATTGTGCCCCTGCCAGAATGTTAGTAATGAGCAACATGCAAAGAGTTACCAACAGCACTTTGGTTCTCACCCAGTGCCATTACATTAGAAGCAAGAACATCCTGAGCTGGAACAGCCCCACAAGGATCACTGAGGCTAACTCCAAGCTTCACACAGGACTGCCCAAAATTCAAACCATACATTAAACACGACATCTGTTTAAAAATAAATACATAGATAAAAGCAAAACAATGATATGCAGAGGTAGGTCTCCCTGTATCCACCCAGTGACTCACTGGGAAAGAAGACTGAAATACAAGGCTTATTTATTAGATTAAAAGGTTCATTTTAAAGTACAGCGTTATCCATTATTCACTGTAATTTTCTTGAAAGATCGTACAGAGGGGTATGATCATTCAAAGGGGTCAGCTTTTTCTTCATTATCTCTAAAATTATATTAAAAATCTATCTGAAAGTTCAGATTTAACCCTAATGAAGTGTTTCGGAAGGCACTCTGATACATCTACAAGAATCCTAAATCAGGAAGCACAAATCCGAGCCCTGAATTTTCAAAGGCAAAGTTGCCAGGACTTCTGCAAAACCTTCTTCATTGCCACTTGGATTACCAGGCTCTTCCTGAACACAAGGGATGCCTTCCAAACCTCTGCACTCCTGGGACATTTCTCTAGATTTCAAGCAGATTTCTTAGTTCCTTCTTCAGAAACTTCAAGAATGGTGGGACTCTGGCTTAAGTAGACAGACACAAAACACAATTTATGATGGCTCTTACTCCAATGCAGTCTAATTAATGGAATACAAGGCAGCAAAAGTCTGCAGTGGATACTTGTTTTTCTTTCTCCTTCTTTCTACACACAAGACTGTCCTATTTCAGACTAACACAGTAGGTAACTGCGTGCCCAGTTAACCCATACAGACTTCGTAGAGACTTAACAAAGCAAGACAACATTCTGAGTAACATAAAACACTCTATGGTGGTGATCTAGCGAATAAGCTCAGCGTTATCTTGAAGAAATGTGTTTCTTCTTTGCTCACAACTATACAGAAAATTGCCACCTAGAAAACTGCAAAGGCGTGCAGTTTACTGCACTTCTCAGAATTGCAAGTTACCTACACACACTGTATCGCATTTCTGTGGGTTGAAAGAAATCTCTTATAAAGCTCCCTTTGTGTTCACTTCCCCCAACCAGATTTAAAGCCCTTCCGACTTCTCCTTTCCCTTCTAAATGTCTGATATTTGGAATTCCTGAAGAATCTTACGAGAGAGCTACTGATGAAAGCTAGTTACACTCCTCATTCACATTCTGCTGAAACAGCTGCACCTGCATCTTCCTCGAGATTATGCCAGATCTTGTCCAACATAACACAAGCTGTAATCACTGCACTGAGTGCTCAGTATCTCTGATCCTTTGAGAAGTTAGTGTACTTGTACACAAGTCAAGCAAGTGGCACATTTATAAGTACACGGTACAATAATTCGGTTCACAACAATTCCACAGCAGTCCCCTTTTCAAAAGTATAAAAGAATAAATAAAAAAAGTAAAAAATGATGGCACAATCTCTATCAATGAAGTTATTTTCCAAACCAATTCAGAAAATCAGAGCCACTACGCCAGGCAGCAGGGTTAAGAATGTAACTTTTGCAGGTTTGCATCTCTGACAGCCTAATTTAATTTCTAATATATTTTAGCTAGAACACACAGCTACCACGATCAACACTGTTCAAACAAGCATATCTTACATAAATCACTTTAAGAGTGACATATGAGATTTTTGAAGAGTAATGGAGCAAAATGCTCCTGATAGTGTCTTTTTTTCTTTCCTTCTTTCCTTCTTTCCTCCTTTCCTTCTTTCTGTTTCTTTCTTTCTCCCTTTTTTTTTTTTTTTTTTTTTTTTTTTTTTTTTTTAATTTAAAAGCATGTGGTTTCATTCACTGAATATCTCATACTTACACAATATAGTGAACTGCAATGGAACAAGAGTATTTACACACTCCACTTCATGCATTGACAGGCTTCAAACCTTCCTTGTCAGGCTTGCACTGACACCTGCTGGAGAATATTTGTAAATCAAAATCCAAAGCCCTCAGACACGGAAGCTTTTCAGCTCAGGAGGGAACATCGGTTCATTATTTGGCTTATTTATAATTTAATTTGACTACTGAGAGGAGCCATGGTTTTCAAGAAAAAAAAAACTTAGAAAGCCATAAATTAAAATATCACAAGATGTGCCAACTGTCATGATGGAATTTATCCTCAAGAAGTATTTCTTACCTTTGATTAGCATAGAAAGAAGCTGAATAAGAGCAGGTAAGTCAGCTCTCTCCCTCCCTTAAAATATGTGAGAGGCTTTG